GTTGACAGTGTTAGCATCGAGCCAACCTGCTTTGCAAAATGCATCGGCATTAGCTTGGCTAGTGTCCACAAGAGTTGCTCGCCGACTGTCAGGCCCGATTGATCCCACTTGGGCAGCCATTTCTGAGTTCGGATCCACGAGTGATCCGTCCGAATTCAGAAGGGTGATGAAACGAAAGTTGGAGTTTAAATTGAAGAGCGAAGGATCGATGGCATAGCCGCCCCCGTCGAGCGGGGTCTTGGCACCCGTTGTTGAAAAGGCGTGGGCTAACAAGGCCGGTATAACCACGAAGTGTCTTGGATCCGAAACCTCGGATTCGAAGGATCCTTCCGCTTGATCCACAAGATCGCCGTCAGTATATGCGACTGTGGAATCCTCCGTCCAGAGATCAGACTCCGTGACCACCAACGCGCCTTCTTTGGTTTTGCTCTGCGAAGTTCCCATCGCGGGCGCTGCGGGTACAAGGCAATAGAACCCAATGGCTCAGATGCAAAAAGCGAGGGTTTAGGGTTTAGGGTTTAGGGTTTAGGGTTTAGGTCGGCGGTAACTTCAAGGTCTGAACCCCTAAACCGAAACCCTCAACCTTGAACCCTCAACCCTGAACCCTAAACTCCCTAAACCCTAAACCCTGAACCCGAAACCTTAAACTCCCTAAGGTCCCTAAACCCTAAACCTTAAACTCCCTAGACCCTAAACCCTACCCTAGGGCCCATGGAACCCCATAGTGAACCCAAACCTTAGCCCCCAAAGCCCAAATCTTCCCCTAGAAAGCCCAGAACAGCAATAAGAGCCTTAGGGTAAACCTTAACATCTAAACTTTCAAAGGCGGTCTTCGCGGCCTTCTCATCGCATTCCCTGTGGCTATTTCTTCCGATTGCGACCAGCACATGGGTAGTTCCCTAAATTCGGGTCCCTTTTTAAGGCGCCTTTAAAGGGATCCATACGGCATTCTAGAAGGGTACTACAAGGGGGGTCCACATGGGTAGTTCTCTAAAATAAGGCCCCTTGTCGGGCCCTGTTTATCTAGGTGCGCGTATTATTTTGGGGGACCTAAAGGGACCCGGCCATAGAGAACTACCCACATACCTCGTTATGGCCTTCATGTGCCTCGTTCGGCTGCGGCCGCTGGGATGCAGCTTCCTGTTTCTTCTCGTGCTCTGGCACGTCCCTAAACCCTAAACCTTAAAAACCTAAACCGTGGCTCTTCAGCCGTGATATCGTCCCTGCGAGAAAATCTCCTGAGGTTTAGGGTACTTAAGCTGTTTAACAGGAAACGATATAGGAATCCCAGTAAGGTCCAAGTATATACTATGTGAGCACACGGACCCTTAGGATATACCCTGACCCCCAAAAGGCTTTCCACCCCAAGACCTACCTTTACAGTCGTGTCCAATATCGCTCTTTCCTCTTTGAACGCAATATTTTGCGAGGAATCACCCCCTAAACCCTAAACCCTCAACCCTAAACCCCTTGACTTAACTACAGAAAGAGCCCTGAAACCAAAAATCTCTGGCCTGAAGTCTGAATATCCTAAACGCTCAGCCGAAAACAGCTACCTCAACGGAGCGGCAACCCTGAAACAGAAGACCCTGAGCCCTAAACCCTAAGACCCCATTTAAAGGAAACTACAGGTGGGGAGTTTAGGGTATGTAGGGCTTCTGTAAGGCTTCCATAAGGTATATAGACCTTCTATAAGGCTCCTATAACGGTAACTACCCACCTGAAAATGTCCAAGACCCGAATGACCCGAAACTCCCTAAGACCTCGCAGGCCAAAACCCTAAGACCCTACCCTAAGGGCCCAGGTATCTCTTTATGAGGGTCCGGAATCTCCTTGGGAGAGCCCTTGGGTCCCTTTGCGGTCTCAGAAATGGTACTTTTTGAGGTGCCCGACAGTGTTAGGACCCTAAGGGTAAACCCTATGACCCCAAGACCCATTAGTATAAACCTTCTAAACCCGAACTGGGTTGTAGTTCTGGGGCCCTGGAAAGTATTTATGAATAGGTACCTCTATAGAAATCATAAGGGACATTTTACAGTTTCCGAAATTGCCACCTAGCTAAACCCTGAACCCTCAAGCCTAAACCCCTATACCCTAAACCCTAAACCCTGAACCCCGAACCCTGAACCCTGAATGAGGGCCTGCACGGAATGGCAACCGAGGTCACGAAGCGAGTGGCTGAGCTGCTTCCTTGCGCTCTCGAGCTGCCTCGGAGTGGCGGCTCTGTTGATGTAACCCTTAAGGACGAAATGAACCCTGAAAGGGTTTAAGGTTCATATACCATATAGGAATTCACAATATAAAGGTATAGGGCCCCTACATTTAAGGGTCATTTCGGCCTTAAGGACGATTCTAGTTGTGCTCAAGTCTGGAACTTAAGAGTAAACAATAAGCCCTGAACCCTGCTCTAGCATGTATGCTTCGGTTTAAAGATAAAAGAATCAACGAACAGCACTAATCCTAGGAGCCCAGATAATTACCAATACTATTTTCGGTGGTCCTGAGTGACTATAGTGTAATATACACAAAAACCCTGTTTCTAAATATGAAGACCCTTACATTAGGGTTTGCCCTAAGGGTCCTAACACTTTCGGGTACCTCAAAAAAGTACCATTTCTGAGACCCCAAAGAGACCCAAGGGCTCTCCCTAGGAGATTCCGGACCCTCCTAAAGAGATACCTGGA